TGTTAGGTCAAACGTTACATACGTAATACGCACAACCCAAAAACAAGAGAAGAACACAATAATTTACGTGGTTCACACGATCAGATTGATCGTGCTAGTCCACGGGGGCAACTAGGGTTTTCTTTATTTAGGTGCTACAATGTTTACAAGTACAATGAGATTAATATATATAGACAAACATAATTAGGGTTATCTCCTAATCAAGGAAACTAGGGTAGAGACTAGGGCCGGCTCCTTTTGGGCTAGGGCCGACTCCTTTTGGGCTAGGGCTGGCTCCTTACTTTATGCCTCCTCCCTTTTGTCTAACTTAGTAGGCCGAAGCCTACATTCCAACAGGAGATGGGACGGGGACCCCCATCCCCATCCCCGTCTGTGATCCCAATCTCCTTCCACATCCCTTTCCTCATCCCCACCGGGGAATATGATCACATCACCACCCCCGTCCCCTACAGGGAATGGGGATCCCCAACTGGGAATCGAGGAAATTTCCCCCTTTAGTATAAGATATTTTAAATCGAATGTGTTAAAAACCACACTTGGTTGATAATGGTCCATGTTTAAATCTCACATATTTTCAAAATTTGCTTTTATAGAGTACCACATATTCATATGTGAACAATATGACATCATACATAATTGTTTGATCATACGCTTTCGGCTTTATAACGTTTTTTTTATCTAAAAGAGGTAGACAACTAAGGAAAAATTATATAAGAAAAAAATGTCAAAATACCATTTCTAAATCTAAGTCATTAAATTTGATTTTTTATAAATAATATATCTAACAATATATATATATATATATATAATATTTAATATCTGGGACGGGGCGAGGACCACGTTACCCGGCCCCGGCCCCGGCCCTATCCCCGGTTTTTAACTTTCGGGGATCCCGTCCCCGGTTTTGTGGGGAATTCCCATCTCCGTCGGGCGGGGACACCGGGTTCCCCAATGGGGCGGGTCTCATTTTCATGCCTAATTTTATGTAGTCTGGCGTCTTAATGTGTACATCTGACTCAGATGTCACCTTCGGGTGGGATATACTGGGTTCATTTCAATGGTGTAGTTTATGGCATGTTTGATGTGAACTTGTGCAGAACTTAATTGGAACATGCCATGCTAAAAATCCAAAACAAACTCCAAGACCATTGATTGCAGAAGTGATGGGTTTATCTTATTTTATAGAACATAACAGTTCGACACCAACTAAACTACGGCGACATCTTGAAATATTGCATAGGTCTCCTGAAATTTGGAGTTATTAGTATTCATTTTGTGAGGAACGTGTCCATTATGTACTCGGATATGTTTGTCGATGCATCTTACTTACGTCGTGGCAGAAGTTACAAACTGTGAGCAGGCCGACATTGACTTCCGAGGGCACGAGGAGATGTTCTCTGAACTTGGTGGAGTGATGGACTACGACGAAGACCGAATCCGACCTAAGAGGTATGTTTCACCATCTTTAATGTTTATATCTCGATTTCAGGACTCCCACTTTTTGCACAAACTGAGGTTTTTTATAATGGAAACAACCACTACCTTTTAGGGGTAGAGCTCAGATCTGGGGTCGTCCACCTCTCCCAGACCCTTACTTTCGAACGTAATATACTGTGTTTGTTTGGTTTGGTTTTAGGACCGCAAAGATCACCATTTCAACATTTTGACAGTGGGTGCCATTTAGGGTGCATTTGGTATGCAGATAGGGTAGAATAGAACATGACAGAACATATAAATCGACCAATTTACCCCTAATGAGTTGTTTATATATTCTGATTAATTATGTAATTTATTAAATTATAATAAAATAAATTTTTATTTATAACAAAATACATCATTAGGAGTTTTCGTCAAGACGATTAAAATGATACTAAAATTAAAAGTTCATGTAGTTTCTAATTTTTATTTCATACCTTTTTTAAATTATTTTATTATTATTATTATTCATATTTAATAAATTAATCAAAATATGAATAATTGTAAAAAAAATAATATTTTGAGGACAATAAAGTAAAAGTTTAAATAGCATAAAATACGATAAAAAAAATTAAAGAATGGATAAAATGTAAATACGAAAGCATATTTGATATTTTAGAAGAGAATTGGGTTTTATTTTGAGGTTATATTGGTAAAACATAAGTTTGCTCCACCACCTTGTTCCAGTTTGTTTCATGGGGCAGAGTTGGAACATGTCTGTTCTACTCTGTTTCTATCTGTTTTACATAAAGGTTCTCTTAAACGTGAAATTCCTGTGTTGTCTTGTCCAGTATACCAAACGCACCTTTAATGATGTCAAAATAACTGAATAAAGTTTTTTTAGAAGTATATATAATTTATATGGAAAATACTCAGCAACCCTCCTCACCTTAGGTTTGAATCGTTAACCTCATGGAGGCTGGGTTCTACCGGTAACATAGATACCGCTACACAAATGACTCGTAAGATAAAGTTCGTTGGAAATAAAAGTCACATGTCCTAAATTTTGTGTCTATCTTAGTCCTACCAATTATGTGAAGACATATCATTATCTTATTAAATATTCATTTATTAAATTATCTAATTCTTCTATTCAATATTGTAACGATGTGTTCAGTAAAGTTTGGGGACAAATGATCTGTATTTGTTCATTGGTTAGGAAAATTTATCACAATTAATGTATAAACCTTTTTTCTATAGGCGACGACATCCATTGGGTTGAGGAGGGCTGGTGTGTGATTCGATGATCACGGAATGGGGATTGTTGCAGACACTAGCTCGTTTTCTCAACAGCATTACGAAAGATGATCCACCTGGTTCCCAAGAGCGAGAGATGAACATCTTTGAATTTGTGAGCATTCGACTTGTAACGATTATGAATTCTAATGTTTGAGGTTGTGAATGATTGATTTTTTGGGATAGTTTTGGTGTCCAATTGTATTTGATTACATTCTCATTCTTGTTATTGTTATTGTTATATGTATGTACGATTGTTGGCAAGAATAGTGTATATGCCCATATGGCATTTGTGTCGATTGTTTTTTGGTGCCAGCATATGCTTGTCTCATAAGGTGTTACTTTACATTGGATAATGATGAAGAGCAATATATATTTTGGTTGATTTTTATTTTATTTTATTTTATGTAATATTACTATTAAAACCGTTATTTTTGCACTTCAAATGTGATAACTTCAATATTTGGAGCATATTGTTTATAACGTCTGTTTTCTTTCTTTGTCATATCAGTTCTCTGCTTTACGTATTTACTAAATAATTATTACATATAATATAAATAAATATAAAATTGATCAATCTCATATAACCTAATCAAATTAATAATTTTTCAAAAAATATAATTAGTAATTAAAT